AAGTATTAACTCGTAAAACACTTAGTGTTTTTTAAAATAATCTTTTTAAAATAGTCTTATCAAATTAAAAATAAAATGAAATATAAAAACATAAAACAAATGTAAATTGTATATTATATTTTTTACATTTAAAGGATATATAAGTTGATTAAGAAACAAATATCAACATAAACACCTTTTTATTTACGTAATTCATTATAAAACGACCGCAGTGGCATCGTAAGAGACTATCCCTAATCAACCCGTGGTTATCCCAAGAGGCGACAGAGGGAATTAAAACAGGAGATGAATTCAAAATAATGAAAAACTGATTTTTTTTTATAGGATAAGGGTGACAAACGAGCACACAGTCCACCTGATGGTAAGTGGTTGCTGTGACCCATAGACATCTATATTTATCCTCGACTACGAATCAAATGTCACCTGTGAGGACTAAGATGGAATGCCTCATTTCCATTAAAAAGGGTCTCCGGTTCTCTACACTCACCATACGGAACACAGCAGTGTTGAGCTGCTATTCTCTGAGAGCGTGGTCCTACCCCGATCGAGCCAACCCATGCGTGCTACAATTATACTACTAATATAGCTTTTTCTTTTATTATGAGCTTTTACCGCCGGGCAAAACCATCGATTTGGATCTCTACTGCCAACAACTAATGAGATTCAAGCAAGAAATTGAGAAAAAACGACCGGAATTGATCAACAGAAAAGGAGTGCTCTTTCATCATGATAACAGTAAAAATTGAGCGAGCTTGGTTGGGAAGTGTTAATGCATCCACCATTCACCAGTTAATGCATTCACCAGTCCTGACCTTGCACCCTCAAATTTTCACCTGTTTCGGCCTCTTCAGAATTCTTTGGGTAGTGATAGGTTAAAATCAAGAGAGGACTCTCAAAACTAAGAGTACTTGTCGCATTTGTTAGATCAAAAATCCCAAAATTTTTACAGCAACGGGATTATGTCACAAATGGCACATATATATTATAATTAAATGTAATTAAACATTGAAAAAATAAATGTCTTGAATTTGTATATAAAATACGAAGAAACTTTTTCTCCGAACTTTTATAAACACGGCTCAACTCAACAGAATATTTCGCCATATAGAACGCGTGGGATGTTTCGATAGAGCGCATTACGAGATGCATCATAAGTCATAACACAAATGAGGTCATTTGTGCAAGATATGCAATTTAAAGTAATGCTGTATCATTCAGAGACATTCAATTTTTATTTTTAACCGACTTCATAAATAGGAAAAGGTACTCAATTCGACTATATTTTTGAAGTTATTAATACTTCTTTTGGCCCGTTTGAGAAAAATGATGAGAGTGAATTTTATACGATGCGCGCGCACACCGACAGCTAATAACGAGACCATGAAGTTGTTACAATACGTGCGCACACCGAACCTAAAAGCGACAACTTCAGTTGGTAATAATTGTCTGTCAACTGTTAAGTTTCCATGAGAACTGATAACTATATTCAAGGTAGTTATTCAAATATATATGGATCTATAAAACGTGTTTTATTTTTGTTATTTTTGTTTTGTTATACTAAAGAAGTATAATTTCTTACGTGCGTACATAAGTACACACATCCATTTTTTTAAGTGTGTTACCTCAGAATTCTTTGTAGGTGAACCAATTTTGAAGATTTTTTTTTATTTTAAAGCTGATATTTCTCTTGTGGTCCCTCATGAATTTGATCTAGATCTGACCAGTGGTTTTTTCTGTTATCCTTAACCCAGATAAGCCTGAAACTAAAATTTTCTGAAAATTTTGAAAAAAGTTACATTATTTAGTTTATTAGATCTTATGCAACATAAAAAAAATTATGAAAAAAAAATTAAGTGTAAGGCTTTCAGGGAAACAGCCGTCCTATATGTAGGACAGTAGGATAATAAGAGGAAATAAAAGACCATTTATGACAAAACAGAATGTAATTAAAAAGTGTAGTTTATTAGATAACTATTGATTATATTACCCATTGTTATATGTAATTTACTAGATTAACACTATTTATGAATGATGTTTCAAAACACTTGACACACACTCCAACATCACATTTCTTGCAACGTGTCAAACATTTTTTGTGGCATTGACGACAGCGTGTTTGCTTCGATTGAGGAATAACCAGATGATGCATTTGGTCTTTACGACTATCAGCATGTTCATGATGGGAGGGTCGGCTAGGCCCTCTTTTGGCATTTTTTCTGTTTGATTCAATCAAAGCAATTGCTACCCTTCTGCGAAAGCCAAGATGATCCAGTTTTCCATGATTTATTTTATATAACTGCCATGCATTATGTTCGGCAAGATCAATCATGTGTGTGAGCAACGGCATGTACCATTTCTTACCTCGTATACCAATTCGGTAATGTGAAATATTTTCATCAGACCGATCCACTCCTCCCATATATTTGTTATAGATGGACACCATATGTGGTTCTTCTATGACAATGTTTCTCTTTTCACTTTGTGAGAAGCGTTTGGCAGATTGTTTAGTATTTATTCCTACAGCATTAGAAGCAATACTGAATATATTATTGTCATGCCATTTAGCAATAATGAACGTGTTGTCATGTGTCGTTCTGTAATCGACAGCACCACGTTCCTTTTTTTTCAGTAACTTCGATGTAATCAGAGGACAACTAGATGTCCTGTTTTCTCGAACTGTCCCAGTGCAACGAAGGCCTTTCTTTGTTATCTCTTCCAGCAAGGGCGTCCCAGTAAAAAAATTATCAAAAACTACGTGGTAAGGAAGGTCGAAGCCACGTGAAATCAGCACATCGCAAAAAGTGAGAACAACGCTTGCACCCAGCCCCAATTCTTTATATATTGGATTGCACATAGTTGTAGCACCTTGGTATGGTTCCATCCATAAAACATACCCTAACCGTGTAGCACCAACCCAAGCTTTGAACCCGTACCTAATAGGTTTACCTTTTATGTGCTGTTTGCAGCCATGTCTACCATAGTAGGGGATCGTGGCCTCATCTACACTGTAATGCTCTTCAAGAGGAGAAAACTCTAAGAACTTTTTATTTAGAAGTGTAACTAGGGGGCGTACTTTTGTGTATTTGTCTTGCAAATCCAGATTATCATTGACATGAAGGTGGCGAAAAATAAAGTCAAATCTATCCCTAGTCATAGCCGAGCTGATCAATTCATTCTTTGTATCAGGGGAGTTTTCCCAATACATTCTTCTACGGGGGAGCCATGAATAACCACTAACCAACAATATGCCGATGAAACATTTCATATCTTCAGTGGTTATGTCTCCAGGCAAATTCTTTTTGACAGCATATTTATTGCTCTCTGACACCAACAACGAAATAACATCTTCATCTAAGAAGTTTTCAAACCACTCAATTGGGCGCTTATCTTGGCAAGCGCCTTGAACATCTGGCCAATTCACGGGATTTTTTGCCAAGTCCCGTTTTCTCCATGCGTAGGTACGCCTACGTTTAGTTCGACCTGTAGAATCAGAAGGTTCTTCTTCTGTATCACTCACCATAATCTGCCCTTGAATCATTACTTCAGCCGGTTGAAGCAGAATGTTTCGTGGCAAATTATTCAAAGTTACATTATCTTCTTTACCCGAATCTTCGTCAGTGAGACAGTCAGGATCAACAGGAGGAGGTAGAATACATATCAGTCGTTCTCTATAATCTTCTTCATTATCAGAAACATTTTCTAAAGCATCTAAAATTTCATGCGCAGCTAACGGTCTGTAAAGAAAAAGTTGTATTATTGTACTAAAATCATGTATATTATCCTACTGTCCTATATATAGTACGCTAGTATTTGTAACAAGTTATACGTAATTTGTTTATAGTATTTTGGTAGAATATTTATTTAGTACAAAAGTTAAGGTTATCAACTAGATATTAACACAGAAAAAAACAACTCACGAGTAAAATATAACTTTTTATACATACCTGTCATTTGCCATGTCTGCAACGCACTTTTATTACACACTTATAAGGTAAAATATAAGGTAAAAACTGTTAAAATAACTGTCTTTTTATTTTTTCTAATAAAGCTGACACGTTTCTTACTGCAAATCATAAGACTAAATAATCTTAGATAAAGAGGGTATTCTGATATTTTTTTTATTTCTACTGTCCTAAATATAGGACAGTAGGCTTATCTGGGTTAATAATACATATTTAATTGGCTCCGACTACATTGATGATGTTCTCGTTTTATTTATAATGAAGTCGATTGTACAAAATTTTTAATTTTACCTTGTTTTAATTTTATCGTACCAAAAGGTGTACCTAATGCCTTGAGACGTTCTCTTCCAGTTAACATCTATTGTAGAGGTGTGTTAATTTTATTTATTTATGCTTTATTTATTTGCACCCCAAGTACAAAAAGGTGAACTTAATGCAATAGGACATTCTCTACCAGTCTACCTCCAGACTAAGCAGAGAAGATAATATTGTGGGTGCAAAGTGCAAATGTCTACGTCAGTAATATCTATGTTTACATCATTACATTACATATGCATAATAATAACCATAACTTACTAAGATACATATTATAAACATAATTACACAAAGATGTATAGATATTAATACACTATATTCAAATATTGATTGTTGACAGAGCGCAGTGTTATTGTTTAGCTCCGATTCAAAAATTCTTTTTAATGGTTAAATACCCTTCTTGAGCAAATATTCTTACCTAATAGATTTTGGTACAGTGCTAACTATCATTTACAAAATACATTATTGAAAGGAAATACCATATCTTGAAGTAATAATTAAAAATTACAAGTGTTAGTGCAAAACTATTGTGTGTATTACCGACGGCATAACTTGTGTGGTGAAACGCGTAAGCGACACGGAATACACGGCGCTTGCGACTTTTTGTTCGCAAACTCCACGCCGAGTAACTAATACGCTCACAGATAAGTGTTTATTATTTATTATTATCTACCTGTAGTTAATCAGTACACCTTCAAAACCAACAACGTTTTTATAAGCAAAATGAGCAATTGCAATGCATGCAAAAAGAATGTAAAAACCATAGAAAGTATAGTGTGCACCCAAAAAACGTGTAATAAGCTATACCATTATCTGTGTGTGGGCTTAAAGGCTGACAATTTAAAAAAAAATGTATCCTGGAAGTGCCCTAGTTGCGAGGCCAAACAACCGAAGGGAAACAATAGCGACACACCCGTAAGGGTTATGCAGTGTTCGGATGACGAGGATGGAGCAGAAAACAGGGATGATTACGTAATGACTCGACGTCGTCATCCGCGTTCTCCGGACTGTTTAAATCTCTTCGACTCAGAGTTTGCTAACAAAATGCGCAAAGATATATTGGACATAATTAGGAATGAAGTGCCTAGTATTATTAAAGATCTTATCTGCAAAGAATTCCAAGCTATTAGGGATAACATCAGTGAACTAGAAAAATTAATAAAATATATCGGTGGACAAGTACGATGATATAATGAAGTCCATATCCGTAGCATCTGAGGACACCAAGTGCTTAAAAACAGAAAACTCCTCTCTCCGCAGCGATTTTAAGGATATGCAGAAAAAGATCTCGACAATCGAGCACGATTTTGCTAAGCAAGAACAGTGGGTCCGTCAGCAAAACGTGGAAATTGTAGGAGTACCAGAAAAAAGCAACGAATGTCTCATAGACATTCTTACAAAAATAGCAGAAAAGGCTGGCCACAAATTATTAGAAGCTGATGTAGATTTCGCTCACAGAGTTAAACCACAGCGATCATCCAACAACCAACCGCGCACGATCATCGCGCGCTTCAAATCGTGCCTCAATAAAGACACATTTTTGTCTGCAGTGCGTAATGTAGGAACTTATCGACTAAAGATATATTGGCCACTGGCGACCCCAAAGTCATCTATGTGAACGAGCATCTAACACCACGTAACAAAAAATTTCTCCTTGAAGCAAAAGCAAAAGCCAAAGAATCTGCTTATCGTTACGTATGGACAAAAAACTGTCGGATTTACGTACGACGCAACGACAGCTCACCTCCACTGTTAATCTCCACAGCTTCAGATTTGAAAAAAATTGTGTAGTCTCACTTAGTTTGTTAAACCAACTACATATATCTTCATCGTTAATTATCTTTTGGTTTGTTAGCTTTTTGTATTTTTGTAAAGTCTTAAAATTAAAACTTTATCTAAACATACACATACACATAAACTACACACACACCTTGTTCATTAAACCATGGCAAAACATATTATACGTATCACTGACACATACACAATTCACTAGTTGCGACTCTAATAAGCACACTTTATATATTATGCTTACTTACAAATATCACATAACAAAACTGTATGTACTACATAAATGTATTAAGTTGACAATTCACATACAATAAAATTAAACCAAATAGTTTGAATCTGCAATACCAAAATGTAAGGGGTCTAAGAACAAAAACACAGGAGTTCTACAACAACATCTTGAACAATAATAGTGACATAATAATAGTTACAGAATCGTGGTTGCACGACGGTATTCTTGATGCGGAGCTCTCCGACTGTAGGTACAATATCTTTCGCCGGGATCGCGGCGGCAATAGACTTGGTGGCGGCGTTATAGTTCTGACTGCGGAACGGTTTTCTGCAAAGGTTCAACCCGATTGGTCTCATGATAATCTTGAATGTCTCTGGATTACGATAGACGCGAGAGACCTTGGCACTAGTCATAACTTACACATTTGCGCAATTTACCTACCTCCAGACAGCATGTTGCCTCAACGTTTATAAAGTTTCACTGCATTATTGTCTTTTGTTATGTCCTCAAATCCAGAAGATTTGTTTTTGACATGTGGCGATTTCAATCTTCCTTGTGTTCAATGGACATCGGATGGCCACACACTATTGAAAAAGGGCAGTACCGATTTGCAAGACTCTGCAGAGAACTTACTAAATCAGATTAGTATTCTTGGTCTTCACCAGCACAACTTACATGTAAACACTCACAATAATATTCTTGACCTGATATTTACCAACTTTATTGTAGAGGTTAGTAAATCGATTACGCCGCTCGTACAGGAAGATGTTTTTCATCCCACTCTCACAATTGACGCCGCGGACATCGTGACTTCTTGCATGTCACACAAAGGACATTTTAAATACCTATATTACAAGGCAGATTATCCGAAAATCTGTAAGCATATAGAGGAAACAAACTGGCAGGATACACTTAGTGTAGGGTCACTTGAGGACGCTGTATCGTGTTTCTACAGTCTAATATATGACCTAATTAATAAGTTCCTCCCATGTGTGTTCCAAAGAGCTAAGCAACAGTATCCTGTTTGGTATAATAAAGCTCTCATCAACATCATAAAGGAAAAAAATAAACTTCACACTTTTTGGAAGCTCCATCATAATCCAATCGACTATGATGCCTTTGCAATTTTGCGAACCAGAGCAAAAAAAATTGCTAAAGAACTTCATAAGGTCTATATAAAAAAATCTGAATACAATATTAAATCAAATCCCAAAGCTGTTTGGTCTTACATTAAAAATAAACGTCACAGAAGTTCGGGCTATCCTAAATATATGCAATATGGCAACAACACTCTGCAGTGCGGCCAAGACATAAGCATGGCGTTTGCAGATTTCTTTAGAAAAATGTTCAACGAGCCTGCTTCAACATACACTAATACCTCAAGAAAATGTCTATCATCTACTAATATCATAAGCGACATTCAGGTAACAGATGAGTTGGTGCACAAACACCTTAAAAGTTTAGACTTGACTAAAGGATCTGGCTCAGACAAAATACCACCAGTTTTTATAGTCAATTGCGCCGCTTCACTCTGTGTGCTCCTGCGAATCTTATTTAATAGATCTTTAAAAGAAGGAAGCCTTCCATTATTATGGAAGCAAGCACATATAGTACCCATACACAAAAAAGGACAGAAAAACAAAATCGAAAACTACAGACCAATTTCAATATTAAATACTTTTAGTAAAGTTTTAGAGAAAATAGTATATAACAACGTATATCCAATATTAATGCCTTCCATTCCACCCGAACAACACGGCTTCGTTCGACAACTACCAATCTATCCCTCTTTATGGACGACGTCTTACGTGGGATGGACGGAGGCTTGCAGGTTGACGTGATCTATACGGACTTCGAAAAAGCATTCGACCGTGTGGATCATGTCATCCTGCTTCAAAAACGACAAGCACTCGGGATTTGCGGTGATTTATTAAGATGGTTCCAAGCATATATTTTTAATCGCAGCCAAGCTGTGATCATAGGTGGGTACTGATCTGATTATATAAACGTCCCTTCAGGTGTCCCACAGGGATCTCTGCTTGGTCCTTTCCTGTATATAGCTTACCTGTATGATATAGGAACATGTTTACAACACGCTAAATTTCTTTTGTATGCAGACGACAAGAAAATATATATGAATATAAACTCAGAAAAGGATTGTCAGCTCCTCCAGGAAGATTTAAAGAGGCTAGCTCTTTACTACAAAAATAACCGCATAACAGCTAATATCGACAAATGTATATCAATCTCGTTTACCCGTAAAATAAAACCTATACAATATTTTTACCACATTGACAGCTATCTCATATCAAAAACAAACAGCGTTAAAGACTTGGGAGTGACCTTAGACAGCAAACTAACCTTTTCAGAACACATTACATTAATAACCACGAAAGCCTGCAAAAATCTTGGATTCATCATGCGTATCACCAAACCTTTTAACGATTTAAGTTGCATTAAAGCACTTTATTTTGCATATGTTCGCAGCGTGTTGGAGTATTGCTCTACTAGTTGGAATCCCCAATATAAAAAATATATCTTAGCCATAGAGGGTATACAGAGTAGATTCCTGCGACACCTCAATTACCGTGGCAGGCGCAAGAGCGAAGACTATCATAGCTCTTGTCTGCATCACAAATTATTAACATTACAAGATCGTAGATGTAAAGCTGACATGATGCTGCTATACGAGGTTTGTACTGGCGCCCTAGACTGTCCACAATTGACCCAGCAGCTTATTAGTTTTTGTACCCCAAAGAAACGTACTAGAGTTACGGAATTATTTTATGTACCATCAACTTACACAAACTATGCAAAGAACTCCGTTTCAAATAGGATACTAAGAACATATAATAAATACTTCTCTAGCATTGACCCTTTTTGCATGACCAAGACGAAATTCAAAAAAGCTGTCTCTAAGATCTTGGCAGATGGTTTGACTAATAATTTAAATTAATTTGCTTACTAGGTTGAAGTTGCGACACACATACACATACAAATTATTATATCACAAACACACACACACACACACACACACACACACACACACACACACACACACACACACACACACACACACACAAACCCACACCCACGCGCGCACACACACACACACACACACACAAAACTAGCGCTTAAAATATATTAAATATATTTTTTTTTATTTCTTATTTATATTTCTGTACTTGTTTAAATAACAAAATTATTATTATTATATAGAAATTGACCTTTTTTGCTATACGCTGTATACTATTTGTTAGCAATGCTGAAGACAAAAAAAAAATTAAAATTCATGCAAAAAAATGTAAATCTATAAAGGCTTCTATATAACATAAAATGTTCTCTTGTTTATATATTGTTAAATGTACAAGCTGGAGATTTTGTTACAATAAAAAAAAAATAAAAAAAAATATATATATGTACATACATTTACTTAAATGATTTATAAAAGATGGAAGTAAAGTTCAGCACAATTCATTTAGAAATCGTATTTTTTTATATGATAAGGGTAATAAGCGAGCACACAGTCCACCTGATGGTATGTGGTTGCTGCGGCTCATAGACATCTATATAAAAAAAAGAGAGATGCGTTCTCACCCGTGAGGACTAAGATGGATTGCCTCATTTCCACCAAAAAAGGGTCTCCGGTTCTCTACACTCACCATACGAAACACAGCAGCGTTAAGCTGCTATTTTGCGCTGGTATTCTGTGAGAGCGTGGTCCTTCCCCGGTCGAGCCGATCCATTCGTGCTACAACTATACTATTAATATAGTTGCAGCATAGCTCTACCACGTACAAAATATATCCGTTCAGTCCACTGATTAACCATTGGGGGAGTTTTATTACAAGACTAGCTGTGCCCGCGGCGTAGCTCGCGTATATAGATTTTACATAAAGAATTTGTCGTTTAGGTAAGAGAATATTAAACGATTTATATCATTACTGTATCAATAAGTGGTAACAAATAAATCATTATCATCAAAGTTCTAAGTAGTTTATGATAGAGCTTTGGTGTAAACGACGTTAGAAGTAGACTTAGACGGGGTGTACACAAAAAGGTTAGGAGGCTACTAACGCGGGAAAAAGCAACATAGAGTTGGCCATGTGCAAAACAGTCAGTGCTGAGGTCAACTCTTACAACGCGTAAATTTTGACCTTACACTTTATTT